CAATCGGTCTTAAGCCTCATTTTGAAAAGCATCCTAAAACATTTGGCTAGGGCTATGTTTTACTATGACAGAAATACAAGAAATGTTTTATTTTTCATGAAGTTCATGCCACATTTGACTATTATGGCTTTGTTGAAATTATGAAAAGGTAGATTCGTCACTTCACATAACCTTTAACCAATCATCCTTTATTTAACTTTGGTATTTCAAACACTATACAAAATGTGCTTCAACATTTGCTGGTGTGATTAAAGGCTTTCGTCGAGCAATACAATTGTTTAATCCAGCTGTATGAAGTGTCTGACCAATAGTGCGAGTTAAAAACTCTTGGCCGGTCTTTTTTACCAGAGTTGTTATACTTCTGCAATGCATAAGTAACGATTTTTTTCTTTATTATTAGTAACAATTCACTTAAGCTGGCTTCACCTCAAATCTTTAATTAAGGGTAGTCGATCAGAATGAGGCTTTGAATTAATAGTTTCAGAGTTATCCATTCTTTTTAAAGTGTCAAGAACTGTTGACTTTTCACAACTGATAGTCACGATAATTATTCGATAACTATCGTTATATTGATAGTAAAAAATTATGCCACTGTGTTATTCTATTATTAATTCTTTAGACATTTTCGTTGTTTTAAAAAGATAAAATTTTATTTTGATCTAAAATCAAAATAAACAAACCAAACACGTATTTATTTGGTTTGATTCAAGTAAATAATGTTCAGAATATTATATAGCCGCAATTTTATACAGTTACATGATGTAATTAGTATGAAAAAGCATCTGAAAAATGGTATTCAGAGACTTTTGGCAGGGTCTGTAAAAGATTTTCTAGAGATTATCATTTTCTTTTAAATCGTTACTATTAATGTCTTTATTTGTATATTAATAGGTTATATAATTATTCTATGATCTTAATTTGTTAGTTTTTTTTTTCTGAATCTTTATATAATATTTATATATATTCTTAAGTTTTCTTTTTTTTTCTTTTATCCCAAAAGTCCTTTAACTATTTTCTTTTTCTATAACTTTGTTTAATTGTATTTCAGGTCTTGTGATTTATTCATAATTTATGTTTTATTCTGATTATTCTTATTATTATATTATATTCAACTATTGATAACATTCTAGTTATCATATCATGTTTCAGCTATTGTATTATGTATTGATTATTATTGTACTTTATTTCAGTTATATCATAAGATTTGTATTACTTTTTGATTATGTTATATCCTATATGATTATATTACTTAATAATTATATTAGATAATTTGTATTTCATTACATTATTCTAATTAATTACTTATTCAATTTTGACTAATTAATTTTTCTTCATAACTCTCAATTCAATTAGTTGTTTCTTAATCTTTTAATATTATTTTTCCAATAATATTTTTTGCTTTATTAAAAAGGATCACATAATATATTATTTTAGATTTCTTAACTCTATCCGTTCAAGCATTTTGCAGGCAAATTTGCCTGCAATTTTATTTAATAATTAAAATTATTTATAATAATTTTAAATATTTCTAAAATAATTTATTTAAAAATTAATATTTTTATAATAAATTTTATGATGTTTTCTAAGTAAAAATTCAAAAAAACATGTAATTAATTAGTGATATTTTAAAGATAAATATATAATAAATTATTATGAAAAAAAGTTAAAATTTTAAACTTATATATCTTGCTATCTATTGATCTCAGAAATATGAAAATATAATCATTTAATAGGCCTTAATAAGATAAATCCAACAAACTAAATTTTATTTTCTTGTAATTATTTAATAATAAGTTATTTTAAAAAATTGAAAAATTGAAAAATTAATTTATATTAATAATTATTAATTTTAAAAATTTAAAAATACTATCATTATATAGATCTTAATATGACAAATCTAATAAACTTTATTTCATTTTTTTATAATCATTAGATATTAAAATATTATAATTTTTCTATAATATTTTATAGCCAATTTATACCTACGCTTTAAAGGATACATTCTAACTAATATATTATCAATTGGATTCTTTTGCTATCTTATAAGAAATATATGTAAAGAAAGTTCTTCTAAATTTAGTTGAATTGCAACTTTAAAAATATGTCATCATATAATACCAAAAAAATTCATATAATAACATAAACATGAAAAATGATTATCTATTAAATTTATTTATAATCTTTCATTTTTGTTGACTACTAATCATTCTACACAAAATAAAACTTTAGTTTCATTATTATTACTAAAAAAAGAATATAAAAATAAATTTATTACTAAAAAATAAACTTCAAAACAAAGTTCTTTTCTTTACCTATCAACTTTCTTGCTTTTATATGACATGCATTATAATAACTACTTCTGGATTTTTATTAATGCATATTTTATTAACAATTCTGAAGCTTGTTTTTTTATAAAAACTTGCTTATAATAATGAAATAATTGTATTATCTTCATGGAATTTTACAAATTCTGCATCTTTCTTTCTTTGTTCTAAAGCTGATTCAAATGTTTTTAAAAAATTATAAGGAATGTTATAGCATCCATATAACCTTTTATAAGACTATTCATTGATTCATCCTTTGTGTTATTATCATATTAGCTATAAATATTTGCTGATTATAATATGATATCCAACATATTAAGTTTTTATTTATTTTCCTTAAATATTTATCAGCAAAGAATATTTATTTTCAATTGATTCCATTTTTTTAAAAAGTCATCTTTATTATATTCATTAAAACATTGGTAAAAATATTTTATAAATTCTGCCCATTTAAACCCTAAAGTTTTATTTAAATTTTTTATTACATTTTTCATAAGATGTCATAAATACAAAGCATATTTTATTTTATGCAGCTTGAAAATTTGATCTATAATATTAATAATTGCTTGATCTTTATCTGTTAGTAATACTTTTAATAAAGTATTATTAACTATTTTTAAAAAATTAATGAAAGTCTAATGAAAACTTTTTGCAGTTTTACATATACTTTGACCATAGTTATTGACTCTAGTAAAGGCATTCTAAACTTATTAGTTTTATAAGTATTGTTAAAGATCACTAAATCATAAAACTGATAATAATTTGTTTTTTATTTTGAAAACATCCTGATTGCTTGTTTAAATTCATTTATTTCAAAATCAATCAGAATTTTATAACAACATTCTTCATCTTAAGATTTAAAGTATTCTAAATCTTTACAAAATCATTGGCATCAAACTCTCATTTTTATAATATTTCTTCCTTTGATAAATAAATTATTGTAAATTCAGGTTAAAATGTCAGAAAATTTTTCTTTAATATTGCATGAATTGTAAAATTTTCACAATCAGCAAAATAAAGAAGGAGGATTTTTTCTTAGACTTTAACTGGAATTGTCCTTTCTTCAATTAAAAACTGATGATAATTTCTGAAACATGAAGTGGTTATATTCTAATTTGCAGAAATTAAGTCTAAAGTCTATTATTAGTGTTTAGTGAAATATGAACTTTAAATTAACAATTATAATATAGTGGGACCAGTTTCTTTTATTTAAGTTTTTATTAGAAGAATCTTCTTTACTGCAAACAATTATTCTTTTATGTATTTGGCTTATTACATTTTCTCAATTTTTTCTAAACAAACCTGAAAACCATTTCATTTTGCATATGCTTTAACTATCAAAATAAATTTTCTTCTAAAGAATATGTATTATTTTCATTAAGTTCAACACTAGGAGTTTTACTATTAAAAGTATTTTCAGAAAATTCAGATAATACTAAATCATATTTATAAGTATCTTTATTACTTTTTTTTATTTTAAAATAATGAAATTGTAATAATAAAGTGAGAGAAGAATATAGAAAATAGTCTGCAGATTAAACAGATAACATTGTGTTATAACGTGACATATTGTATATGATAAATATAAATCACATGAAGTATTGAGAGGTATAAGATAAGATGCGTAGACCCCTAATACAGGTTAAGATTCCTCCATCAAAAATCCTCAAGTATGTGATTTTAGGTCTACGTGATATAATTTATAGATGATGCAAAAATGTCAATTTGTTTTTATTGAACAAAACAAATTTAAAATTTTCATGCTTTCTTTAAAAATGTTTCAATAATTTTTTTCAAATTTTTTTTTGATATTTCTTTTTATAGGGTGCACAGCTTTAGGGTATCAGAAAATGATTTGATTTTCCAGTAATAGGTAAGGTTTTTTTTTAATTATTTTTTCATTTTATTATGTGATTTCTTTTTTTATTTTTTATAAATTCATACTATTATATTTTCATATCAATCTTTATTTTTACACAGCAATCGCAATGTATAAAATTTATAACACTCATTATTTGTAATAAATTATAAATTTTATAAAATAAATATATGCTTATTAAGAAAAACTTATAATTTTCAAGTTTTATTAAATATAATTGTATTGAAATGTAAGTTAGGGTTAAGAAAGTGCTGTATGTTTGGCTACGCAGTATTTGCAAGTTAGTAGCATAGCATTAGGTTTAGGATATGACATTAGAGTTAAGACGTGACAGAAAGTAGCATTAGGGTTCAGAAGGAAAGGTTTGTTAGAAAAGCAGGCCACAGGCCACGCAGTCAACAGCTGCACTACATTTACAATTAGTTGCGTGGAATTAGGGGTAGTTCGTATCATTAAAGTAATTCATTTATTAAAAAATTAATATTTGATTTATTTCATTATCAAATATATCAACTAAGCCACCTATAATTCAAATAACGTGTGCCTAAAATCACGTGTACGAGGATTTTTGATGGAGTTCCTGCATTATTACATTAGTGTGGCGTTATAAAATTAATCCCGTGATGAATAAGGTCGTGATGAAATTGATTTCACATACCGTCCCCAGAATACTTACAAAAAATGAAAAAAGGAAGGCGTGACAAATATGTTACTATGATCACGTGGTAGTGACATTTTTTATGGCGATGCAGGGGAAGCTGATTTGTGTTAAAAGTTAATCATATATAGCATTTACTATGCGATTGAATGCAGACAGAAAGAACAGAAAGAAGGCGAAATCATCAACATTCCATATCATATCTGAACAACATCATGATTCCATTAAGTTATTAAACAACACCATTAAATTAAATACTTGGATATCAATTAAAGCATTGGATGCAATTATTAATGTATTTCTCGAATAAAAAGAAATAAATGAAGAACTTGGAGGTTCTGGATTACAAGGAATATTTGATATATTAGTTTATTTCTAGTCTTAAAGGTTATGGTTATGTAACATCGAAATTTTCAAGAAAAGTTGGTGAAGAAGATCAATGACTGAAATATTTTGAATGACATTACACGCTGGCCTTTATATAATGATTAAATTTCACATGAATACTGATAAATTTTATTTAACTAAATTTGATTTTTATTTTTGTAAATAAATAATTTAAACAACACGTGTTTCCACATAAATTAATAATCCTTGTACCGCAGTAAAGTATTATTTTCAATAATTGTCAATCCCATAATGGCTTGTATTCAATTTCAAAGTTTGATTTAATATTGTTGGTAAACAGTCCAACCCGTATGAAATTAATATTTCGATGGTACGCTCCGAAACGATCGAACCCTAAAAAAAAAAAATTGCTATTATAATAAAATCGAGTTACGAACTAAGTTCAATCGCTTGATTAAATAAATTACAACAAATCCAGTAAGCTGTTTTTTTTTTAAAAAAATCTTTAAGATGATTATATTATTCAAAATTTAAATTTTTAATATTAATAATACTATTAAAAGTTTACGCTTGAACAAGTTCCTAGTTCGTAGACGATACAAACTTCATTAATCTTCCACATTAATAGGGAATCATGAAAAGGAAATTGATATATTTAATTGATCGATTTTTATTATAATTGTTGTTTCATTCGATGGTCTTGTAATGATTCACTTATATATAAGCTTCCTATTAAAAATAATAAAATGAGTGATAGCAAACATAACTTATTTATTTTAACATAATAAAATCATTTATAAATTTATCATGTTTAGGTTTTTATAATACTTAAAATGCTCCTTAAGCATAAAACTTTTCTCGGTTTAAATTTTTTTTTTTTTTCAAATATGATTTTAATAGCAATCCGCCCAATAAAATTAGACTTGACAATACGCGTGTTTTATAAACATATATTTTTCTTATACGGACGGATAAATTTTCAGTACAAAGGAGGATTGAAATTATAATTTGTCACAAAGTAAATTCACAAAGTCACTCGATAAACAAAATCTTTTTTCTTTTATGACGATAAATTCACTATTGTCCGAAGTTAATAAATTCATTCACTCGTAATACTGGAAACGGGCTCTTACGAAAAACGGTAGTACGTAACGGTAACGGATTATCGTATTTTCTCCTTTTGTATTAGTTGCATCATTCGTTCTTTTATAGTTGTGCAGAATTTCGATCAAGAAGAAAAATAAGAACTGTAGTGATCTTTCAAAGGCACGCCGCAGTAAACTGTTAACTTGATTTGGTAAGACGATCCACTGCAAGAACCGGCTAGGTTATTTATGGAAGGAATAAACCGAGGGCTGAGTAAATGATGTAATATTTATGCATGAAACAATAAATAAAACTCATTGAAATAACCATCCCGAACAAAAAAATATAGAAAAAAAAGTCGGAAAAAAAAAAAAAAAAATAAAAATAAAAATATGGATAATATGGATAATATGGATAACGATTTAGAAAATGTCCTAAATGACTTTGAAATGAGAATTAAGGAATTAGAACAATGTAACGAAGGGTTACGTTCTCTATTCAAATATTTAGAAGAAGATAACAAAGCCAAGCAAGAAATTATTAGTAATTTAGAAGAAAAGGTTAGAGAACGAGAAGAAGAAACGAAAGCCAAGCAAGATATTATTAATGATTTAGAAGAGAGGGTCAAAAGTCTTGAATTATTAATCTATGATGATACTACCGATGATTTAATAATTACGGATATTAATAAGGATATCCTATTTAGCAACGTGGGCGGATTACATAGATATCAAATTTTGACAAAACTCTATTGTAACAATACTCAAATAACCATCTTACCAACTTTACCTAACTCCATAACCGAACTTTATTGTAACAATACTCGAATAACTAACTTACCGACTTTACCTAACTCCTTAACAAAACTTTATTGCTATAATACTCCAATGACCAGCTTACCAACTTTACCTAACTCCTTAAAAGAACTCTGGTGTTTCGAAACTTCAATATATGGTTTACCAAATTTACCAAATTCTTTAACAGAACTCGGTTGCTCTTATACTCCAATTTCCGACTTACCACCTTTACCTAACTCCTTAAAAGAACTCTACTGCGATAATACTCATCTATTAAGATTACCAACTTTACCCGACTCCTTAAATACACTCTGGTGCTTTAATACTCGAGTAACTAACTTACCAAATTTACCTAATTCCTTAATACTTATCAACCCTAAAGCTTTAAAAAATCAATATTTAAACGACCTTTTAACACTTTGATACAACTTTAGCAATTTAGCTTTTGTTTTTTTAACAATACCGACTTTAATGTATTCATTAATTATTTCCTTTTATCAATAAAATATTTTTTCTCGATAATACAAAAATGGTTATTATTTTTTATTTCATCGATGAGTTTAATTAACTGAAATATTGTATAATACAATTTCATTTTCCAGTCGCTGAATCGTAGAAAATTAAATACATGTATTCAATAATAGATACCTTAAGAATTATAGTAAAAATGTTATTATAATTATAATTATATGGAAGTTGTTTTAAAATAATCGCAAATAAATTATTTTAATGAAGATGAAACTAAAACCCAAGATAAATAGACACAGTATTTACAAAAATATAAAAGAAACATAATTTGAATTATTTTCCAAAAAAAGTGAGACATAAAAATTTTAAATGTAAAAATGTAATATAACAATGTAACAAAATAAAGATTTTTTTTTATAAAAAAAAATAAAAAGCAAAATAATTTAAGCTAATATACTTCATCAAGAAAAATATGATTAATTTCTATTTAAACAAAATATCTGAAAAAATGTAATACAATTTTTAAGCTAAAGATATTTTATGTAATACAAATACTAATGCTAACGCTAAGAAATGAAGAATAATATTTTTAAAATAAAATAATAAATAGACAAGATTAACAAAATCAATAAAAATATGTTTTATTTTAAAATATGATGGTTAAATTTAATACAACACAAAAGTGTTATAGAAAAGCTTATATTACAAATTTATTCTATTTTAATGATACAATAACTATAGCAGTAGTAGCAGCTGTAGCTGTAGCTTATAAAACAGATATATAAACTTTAAATTCAATGTTTATGAAGTGTTAGGTAACTAATAATATATCAATAAAATTTGTTTAATAGTGTAAAAATAATTCATTAAATATAACACTTACTTTGATGAATAGGAAAACATCTTCAACAACATCTTTTAGATGTTATTTTAATTAATTCTAAAAAGATAGTTATTTGATAATCTATTATCTATAAAGAAAAAAGTGAAACTGGAAATGAAATTATATAAATTACTTAAGGGCTTTTACTGAATTTAACAACTATATATTAAAGTTAATGGTTTAATTATAACTTCAGCTTCAGATAATACTGTAGCATAGTAAATATAAATTACAATTTTATAAATTATATTAAGAATTTCTAATAGATAATTTAATTAATATATTAATAAATATTTAAGAATTCTATATTAAGGGAAATTCTTTTACCTTGCTTTGCATATCAAACAAATTTTTATGTAAGAGATATTTTTAAAGAATTGAATGCTATTATTATCTTAGCTGAAACAATAGTTAATTTTTTTTAAAAAAAGACTAGAAAAAGGATAGACTAATTGTAAACAACATCTTTTATTTTTATTCTTTGACTTTATCCAAAATATTGTATAAATAAATTTAATTCTACTATTAAAAATCTTTCTTTTTCTCATCTTGGTCGATAGGTAACTTATTATTTATATTACTTAATTTAATAAAGAACTAATATCATTATTAATTGAATTAAAATCATGTAAAAAATATTCATATAATGATGCTATTATATGCACTCTCCTCTAAAAAATATTCAATCACTTATTAATTATTTACCAATTATTTAAATTATAATCGATTTTAACATTATATTATTTAACAATTATTTAATAAAATTTTTACAAAATTTATATATATAACTAAAAAATGCTGAAGCTGTGATCTGTAACTACGCTAAAAATAAGTCATGTGATCTAAATGATTGACATAGTTAATGAAGTTGACAAAGTTGCTAAAGTTGTCAATGTTAATTAAGTGAACAAATTAGATAAATGAATTATAGTTATTATCTTTATTAATTATATTTTATTTATTATATATATTATATTTATCATAGTTATATTATTTATTCTTTTTATTATATTTGTTATAGTTGATTTTATATTATTTCATTTTATATAAAGATCTTGTATTTTCTCTTGAGTTGAAAAGTAACTCAAGTTGAAGTTTTAGTATAAACCAAAAGTTCAATAAAGGAATCGTTAAATTTATTTACTATTGCCTTTTGTCGTATCTTTATATAGGCGTGATTGTGATATTGTCTTGTATTTAATTCGTCAAATTAAATTAAAAGTTTATCATTTAAGTTTATGGATACCAAGCCAATAAAAGTGATAATTCCTGCCAGATATTCTCGCTTTTAGTGAATGAATTTTGATCTCTATCTTACACTATAACGAAATCATATTTAACAACACTTTGAAAATAGAAGTTACCTATCAACTGACTACACTTGTATAATTTATTATCTACTTTCAGAAGAAGTATCTTTATCGTTCAAATATTTTTAGAATTGGATTGGTACAAATTTGGTATTCTTGAATATACTGGAAAAACAGTAGCCAAATTATTGTTATATAGTTTAATCTTTGTTAACCCTTTTAATTTTGGATTTGATTTTGACTTCATTGCTATTTATATATTAGAAGAATCTTATCATTCAGTTAACTTTAAACACCCTATAGCAACAGAATTACAACCTTTAGTATCTCTCTCATTAGAACCCTTAAAAAGAAATATAATAGATGCAGATCAATTTAATTCCTTCATTACTACACTCACAAATTCTATTGATTAACTCACTTAGAAAGTCTAAAACAGACTTCCACAGTAGTCACCAAAAAGAAATCTAATTTAGTCCTAATAAAATGCTTTTCAGGAAAAAGTGAAGAGGATTTATCTGATTAGATTGCCTATTTTGAGAAAGTCGTGA